CCTCCCTGAGAACCTGCCCGGCCGGCCCTCCTCCCCCGTGTCGCCGAGCCCGCAGCCACCCCGCGCTGTGCTTCGGCCCCCCGGTGGCTCCCCGGGCGCACGTCGGGTCTCCCGCGGGCGCGGTGTCCAGAGGCCGAGCCCTGTGGCGCCCCGATGAGAGGCCTGCGGGGGAGGCCCACTTCTCTGTGATGCACTTACACAAAGCACATTTTCCTTAACATTTCCGCCTTTTCTCTTTTCCTCTCTTCAAGTATTACAGACGCCCCCCTCTCCCAGCGAGCCCTCTCCGCACCCCGCCCGGGCCTCGCGCCGCCCGCGGGGCTTGTGCCCAGAAGGTCTGGGGAACCTGACGGGCGTGTCCTGCCCACGCGTGCCCACGCCGTGAGTCTGCCCTCCCCGTGCAGGCTCCGGAGCCGACCTTTTCTCCTCGCACTTCGCCACCGAAAGCGCCCGGTGGGCCCCGCGTGGCCACCGCCTTGACCGGTTCCGTTTCAGCGCCCGGGAGGGCATCTCGCAGGCCCGGGCGAGGACCCAGCCCCACCGCCTGAACCCCTGAACCCCAGCACCCGGTGGGCCCCAGACGGTGAAGCGCTAGGCGGCCCCTTGGGGTCTCTGCTCCGCGTTTCCAGTTATGGATCAGAGGCTTTCTGAGTTGGTGGAAGACCTCACAACTTCAGGAGAGCCGCAGCTGAACCCCGAGAAGATGAAGGAGCTGAAGAAAATCTGCAAGTATGTCTTAAGGTTCAGCATTTCATGGTGACCGGCTGGCCCGGCAAACCCAACACCCCTGGGATGTTGTACAATTGTGAGGCTTCCCCTGGGGCCAGGCACATCTCAGCTCTCCAGCGTCACTTCTGCTGGGAAAACCCCCGAAGGAACACGCCAGGATGTTACCCCAGGGCCCCGAAGTGTTCTGGGGCAGTGGTCCCAGGTGAGGGGAACATGTCGGGACTGGGGTTGAATCGCTGTTCACTCCCATGTGGGTGACGGAGTGTGGCCCTGGAGTGCACATGTGTGATTTAGGGGGAGTGTACGTCTGCTGCTTTAACTGTTAGAATGTGTGGTGGAGGAAGGTGAGAGGTCACGGGTGGGCAGGTGGCCTTCTGGTGCCGCAGGACCTGTGTGTCCACCCGCCCTTCTCTCCCACTGCAGGCAGGTGAGCTGGGATCCACTGAGAGCCGCTCAGACCCTGGGAACATAAGCAGAGGTTTACATTGTGTTTATGAAACAGGAGATTTTAAAGGATTATTAAGTGATGAAAAACTTACATTTTGACTAAAAAATTTCAGCTCAGATCAGGTTTCATTGTATGCCCAGAAAACCCCCAAACAGCGGTGGCTTACAGGGCAGGGGGGCACTTTAGTCTGTGCCGAAGCCGCTTCCCTGAGGAACGCCGACCGCGAGGCGAACAGGCAGTGAGGCCATCCCAGTGAAGCTATGGGCGCTGACACGGAAACCTCACGTAACTTATACGTGTCGTGGCGTATCACTCTCTTGATTTATTTCAACCACTTAAAAATAAAACCACTTCTGGTTTGTGGGTTTTTGCTTTTTTTTTAAACCTTGCTTGAAGATATATTTAGAGAGAGGAAGGAAAAGAAATGTGGATATGAGAGAGAAACATTAATTGGTTGCCTCCTGGATGCGCCCCGACCAAGGGTCAAACCCACAACCCAGGTATGTGCCCTGACCCAGAATTGGACCCAAAACCCTTTGGTGTATGGGGTGATGCTCCCACCAGCTGAGCCACTTTGCCAGGGCTTGGCTTGTGGGTTTCACAGAAGCAGGAAGGGACCAGGCTTGGCCGTGCAAGGGGGAGTGAGGACCAGGACAGGGCACGTGTCCCTGCCTCTGTGAGCACTGCCCCCATGGCACTTAACTACCGTGTCCTCAAGTGTTGGGCGCTTGGTAAGAACAGCTGGCATCCCCAGGTCGTCGGAGGAACAGCTGAGCCATGCCTACCACCTGCTGATGGCCCAGCTGAGCCAGGAGCATGCCGAGATCCGCCTCTCTGCCTTCCAGATTGTGGACGAGCTCTTCGCCCGGTCTCACCTGTTCAGGGTGCTGGTCGTGTCAGACTTCCAGGAGTTCCTGGAGCTCACGCTGGGCACCGACCACAGGCAGCCCCTGCCGCCACCCAGGGAGGTGGCCCAGAGGCTGAGGCAGGCTGTCACCCGGGCCGTCCAGGGGTGGAACGAGAAGTTTGGCGCGGCCTATAAGAAGCTCGCCTTGGGCTACCACTTCTTGAGACACAGCCAGCAGGTGGGTAGGCCTTGGCAGTGCCATCTTGGTGGGCAGACTTGCCTGGACCCTTGGCTACTGGGGCAGGGTTGAGGACCGAGTGGGCCTGAGAGTAATCAGCAATGTGGGGGTCAGGGGCTCCAGAGACGGGAGGAGCAGCTTTGTGAGGAAGCTGGGAAGCTCATCCCTGGGTGTGGGTGGAGCTGAGCCTGTGGACCTAGTTCCCACGGGTGTACAGGTGAAAGGACAGTGAGATTCAGCTTCTCAGACGCAGCCCTTCTCTGGGACAAGTTTCCCCCTCTGGGACCCGTCTTACACTTTGTGTTTACCTGGGTCCCTTCTGCACTGGTCCCTGCTCTCTACCTGTGGGTGCCGCCTCTCCCGCTACAGGTCTGGGGTCCATGCTCAGGTGGTGGTCTCAGGCTCTTGGGTCTGGCCAGCAGCTACCCTTCCCTGCTGATTGGAGTGAGCAGCCCCCCCAACCCCCAGCACGCTTGTTGCCATGGTCTTTTTGTCTCTTTGTTGGGAGATGTTGCTGGCTGTGCTCTTTCCAGGGACCAAACACGCAGTCCAGTGTGTTCCCTTGTGTTTTGAACACTGAACTGGAGAGACCCACTGAGGTCTGGCTGGGTGCCGGTGACAGTGCTGGTGCGGGTGCCCCTTCTCTTTGGCCTGTTTTGACTTTCATTTTCTTTGTGTTCTGTTCATTTGGGTCTCATCTTTATCTCACTTTCTCAGGTGGATTTTCAGGATGTGAGCGCTAGGACTCTGGCAGAAAGAAAGCGAGAAGAGGAGAAGCAGAGGCGCTTAGACAGAATCTACCGGGACAGGTCCGAGCAGGCCGTGCGGGAGATGGAGGGTGAGTCTCCAGGACAGGGGGCAGCAGGTGGACAGCCAGCTGGGCAGGGACCCCCGCCCTGTCCTGCGGAACCTCTCCTGGTCGGCAGCTGGCGGGGCCCTGTGTGCTGTGCAGGCCTCTTGGTGGTCATGCTGGCAGCAACCCCTCCCTGCATCATGTCGTCCAGGCAGGGGGAGATGAGATGTGCATCCTTTGTTGGTCTGTGGTCTGAGCTTCACCCTGCATCTCCTGGCCTCACTTGCTCTTGCCAGCCCCTTCCCCAAACCCTAGCATTTGTTTTCTGGCAGCCAGGGTGTGAGGAACAGGAATGCGGCTCTGCCTCAGGTGCTTGGGGGAGGACCAGGCCTTGAAAAGGCGCATAGGCCCCTGGGCTCAAGGAGAGCAAGCCATGTGAGTGGGTGCAGGTGCACTCAGACTGGAGGACTGGGACGTGGCGGGTGTCTTCATGGCCCTCAGCTGGCCGCTCCCTCCCCCAAGTTCTGCCTGTGACAGTGCGTCCCACGTGGAATTCACAGACATGCCAAGTAGTGGCTGTCGCAGCCTGAGACAGATCCGTGGGGTCAGGACATGGGAGGAGGGCCCCACAGCCGCAGCTGCTAAGCTAGCTCTCCAGCGGTCACAAACCCTCTGCTGACACTCGAGGCCAGGGTGCTGGGCTCTGCAGGGGGGAGGTGGGCTGTGGACAGCCCACCTGCTGCTGGACAGGTCTCCCTTGGACAGGGGTCTCTGCCCTCGGGTGGGCAGTGCTGTCCTATGATGTGACCCAAAAGCAGGTCTTGGTCTTTGCAGAAATGTCTGAGGAGATCCGGGGCTGCCTTACAGAGGTGGACAGCTGCTTCCGGCTGCTGGTGCCCTTTGACTTGGGGCTGAGCCCCGGGGCCGTTCGGCTTGCTGTGGCCTCTGCTGCACCCAAGGAGGGTACCCCTCTCCCAACCAGCACCCCCGTTGGGGATGAGGAGCGGCCGTGCTGCAGCAAGACCCTCCCGGCCTGTGCACTGCGTCCAGTGGCCATCCGTGGGGAGGGGCTGCCCCATGCCACCCAGGGGGCCTCCTCGGACGACGAGGACAGTGACCAGGAAGAGTTTGTGCGGTGCCATGGGCTGGGCTCCCACAAGTACAGCTTGGACGTGGAGCTGTCCTCAGGTGACGCACCCCTGCCGCAGCTCAGGGCTCTCCCTCACTGCCGACCAGGCTGCTGCCTGAACCAGGCCCCCTTGGCCACTGGCCTGCAGGACACTTCTGACAGCTCAGGCTTCTTGGTGCCGTGAGCAGGTCAGGGATCCCCCAAGTTGGGGTTAGGCTGTGGGTCCCAGGGCCCTCATTGTGACATGTAGGTGAGGTGACCAGGGTGCCTGTGGAGCATGTGCAGTGGCTACAGGCTGCTGCCCAGTCCATTGGGCTCAAACAGTGGCTGCCAGGGCCTGGGAGAAAAATGAGATGGAGAAACAGCTTCTCACCATGTTTGCAGAGATATAGGTGGTGTCTCTCAGAGCCCCATGTGGCCCTGGCCTCCCAGCCTCGAGGTTTCACCCCATGTGCCGGGCCCCCTGGGCCTAGCTTCTACATAGGTGCCCGATGTCCATGTTGGGTGTGGGTGGGGTTGGGGCCCTTCAGGAATTTTCTTGGGAGGAGAGCAGCCTGGCTGGAAGCTGCAGGAAGCCCTGGGCACACAGGCACACATGCACCCACCCACCCAGAACCTTTGAGCCCCAAGGAGCTGCCATGAGAGGCAGAAGCAGTCTTGGGGCCAGTGTGGAAGGAGCATTGGCATCAGACTGAAACGGTCTTTGCCAAAATCATGAAGCAGCAAATCTTGGGCATCAGGTTTGGGGTCCCAGGCAACCAACCTATGGCGGGGTGGAGATGGAAGTGCTGTGACCTGCCCTGGGCCTCTGGTCCCTCTGGTGACTGGCATGCCCCTGTGCAGACAGCCTGAGGGTGCAGGAGGACGAAGACAACTGCGCTGTCATCCAGTCAGCCCGGGACGCGCTCAAGCTCATCCAGAACAAGTTCCTACCAGCTGTGTGCAGCTGGGTCCAGGTGAGGCTCCCTGAGTGCCGGGCAGGTGTGGTCGCCTGGGGAGGGTGCCCAGCCTGCTGGATGACAAGCCCCCTTGCTGGCAGCTGTTCACCCGCGCAGGTACACATGGGGGGCACTTGGAGGCTGCCATCGGTCTGAAGGCAGAACTGGAAACGGCCCTGCGGAAATCCCGGGAGCTGAACATCGAGCCCGAGAGGCTGCGCAGGAGGGAGGTGAGTGGTGGCAACTGGGTGGAGGTGGCTAGGGTTCCTCTCTGGTCCGAGTTCAGCCCTGTGAGCAGAAACGCTGGGCTCTGGAGCAATCCAGGTCCTCCTTCACTAGGCCTTGGGGTTGAGGACCAGTCCAGCTGGTCCAGGAGGTGGAGCGGCTGGGCCAGGGAGTTCCAGGTCCCTAGGGTGGGAGGGGGCCTGTGAGTTTCTGAACTGTTGGGCCCCACCTTAGGTCCTTTGACTTTGCCGGGTGTGTAGCCCCCGGGGACCAGCAGAGGGCGATCTTGTTTCTCTCCTTTGAAAAGGGCCAGTTGGGGAAATTCACAGCAGGTGCAGCGGAGGGTGCGATGTGGGGATCCTGGTGTGTCTGCCGGTGTGCCCGTGGGCTCAATTCCTTACAGAGGCCTGTCAGGCCCTCAGCCACCTACAACCCCTCCGAGCTCACGTGAGACTTGGACCTCTCACTGTTAGAAACCTGGGTGTTGCCCCCAGGTATCTGATGACCTGTGGGTGGGAGGCACGGAGTGTCCAGGCCTGGTTGTCCAGTAGGGGCCTCCAGGCTACTTGTGGCAGGAACAGGCTTGGGGAGTTGGAAGCCGTTGGTCAAGGTTATGCCACAGTTCACTCTGAAGGCTGGAGGGCCTGGCCAGGCGAGGGGCTGACCTGGGGCCATGTCTGTGTCCACTGAGTTAGGGGGGACACGGTAAACTGAGGTGGGCTCTGTGCATGCTACACCAGGCAGTGGGGGCCACGGGTCTGACTGCGTGCATGGAGCAGGCTGGAAGGTGTCTCTGCCTCATCTCTGCCTGTCAGGGAATGAACAGGAGAGCAGGCGACTCGGAGAGGCTGCTCCGGGAGCTGATTTAAGAGGCACTGCTCTGAAGTCCCTGGAGACAGTGCTCATTCCTCGGGCTGTAGATGGAGTGATTGGCCGCGGGCTGAGTGGCAGTGCCCTGCTCAGGTGAGCGCGGTTCCCAGAATAGATACTGGTATCTGCACATCTGTTCCTGTCTGTGCAGGGCGGCCGCCAGTGGGCTGGTAATTAGAAATTAGGGTCCCGTTGTTCTTGGCTGGTTTTCACATAAGGTGCCTGGGGGTTAAACCCCAGGCCTTGGTGTCTTCCCACTTAGCTCGGGTCTTGGCTGTGGGAAGAACAGGCTGAGCGGGTGCTAACTCAATAAGAGACTTAAACATCTGAGAACTTGTCACAGATGTTTGAGAGGCTCCCCTGGTTCCAGAGACCACGAGGCCCAGACGCCGAGGGGCGGGAGCCTGTCCCTGGACGGTCCGGGCCGCCTGGGCCTCTCCTCTTGGCAGCTGCACAGGACGTGGCCCCTTTTTCTTTCAATTTCCTGTTTCCGTCTGTGTTGCCACTGGTTTCTACATATTGTTTTCCTTTGATGTAGATGTTCTGTCTTTAAAAAATATTTAGGCCAGTTTAAGTAGGTTTAACTGTTTGCTTTATAGAGCGTCTCGCCTGCGTCTGCTGGGAAGCCGGCCGGGATAAATCTCACCTGGATCGATAGGAAGCATCACGGGAGATTTAGTTCCCAGCCTGGCTGTTCCCGGGCAGGGGTGATAATCCGCAGGGCCGCATCCGTTACACTGATAAACATCCTCTGGAAACTTTTAAATTGCATGCTGTTTAATTATGTAGCTAAGATCACCAATTTGTGTTGTGTAATTAACAAAATAGTAATTTCCCACTAACCAGTAAGTCAGAAGAAAATAGTTTCAAGCATCAGTCTGTTTAAATGATCAGCAGTGGGGTTTTTATTTTCTAACCCTCACCCGAGGACATTTTTTTCCATTGCTTTTCAGAGAGAGTGGGAGAGGGAGAGAAACACATCGATTGGTTGCCTCCCGCATGTGCTCCCAGGGCCAGGGATTGAACCTGCAACTGAGATATGTGTCCTTGGCTGGAATCGAACCTGGGACCCTTCAGTCCACAGGCCGATGCTCTAACCTCTGAGCCAAACCAGCCAGGGCAGCAGTGGGCTTTTTAAACTAATACTGGGCTTATGGGTTTAAGTGGCTAAAATACCCACCTGGATGCCCTTGTCTCACCCATCACCAGTCTCGTGTGGCAGCTGCATGGTCTTAATGGCAACACCTCCCTGCTCATCCGCTGGACTCCGCATGAGGTCTTCCAAGTCTGTTGGCCTCTGTGGAGGGAGGCCTCGGCCACACAGTGTCGGGCCCTGTGTGCCCGGCTTCCGTAGGTGAAAAGGGCAGAGCAGGAGACGCAGGGAAATGAAATGTTGGATGCTCCAGGCTCCCAGAGAAGCAGGGAAACTAAATCAGCCACGTGGGGACCTTGTACTCGGCAGGGCCAGTAAACAACCTTCCTGGTGACGGGGCCCCTCCATCATGCTGAAGGCCAGGCCGCTGCCTCCTGCTTTGAGGGGCTGAGAGCAGGGAGAGGTCTGCATGCTGATCTCGAGAGGACTAGGGAGCTTCGAGGCCCAGCACCCCCACCGCTGTTTGAACACCTGCCATCACCTCACCTTCCCCAATAGCCCTGCCCTCCAAACACCTTCACCTGTTGTCTCTCTAATTCCAAAAGCTGCTCCACCAGGGTTTATTCTGTAACCCCATTTTACAGGTGAGAAGACTGAGTCAGGGCGGTTGTGTGAGTCTTGCCTTCCTCCCAAGGCTGAGCCACCCAGTGAGGGTGCCACCCACAGCGTCACAGGGCTGGAGTCCTGCCTCCAAGCATGGAGGAAGGCAGGCTGAACTGGAGGGTTGGTGCAGCTGGGCAGCTTTTGTGTTCCATTGGGTGCCAGAGCCCAGGTGAGAATGCTCTGTGCCCCTGCACACCTCTTATGGGCTGCAGACTCCAGCGCACGCCCCATGTGGTCACCGGAGGAGAGGGCTGTCCATCTGGACCGAAGCACAGGCTCCAGTGCCTGGCTCATGTCTCCTGGGCTGCCATCCCACCTCAGGTTCACGGCTGCGCCCTTACCTGTTTGCGGGCTGCCCGCCCAGACCCAGCAGAGCCCTGGGCCCCAGCCTCACCCTAGAGATGGACCTTCAGGCGGTGGCAGCCTCCCACCCCCAGCACCCCAGCAACTCGACGGGTGCTGGAGCAGCTCCCACAGTGAGGCCTGTTCGAAGCTCACTCCTGCTGCGATTCAGTCAGAACAGCAGGGAGGAGGCTGCCCTGCCACCGGCTTCTGATTCTCCCTTGGGGGGCACGTGCTCCACAGCCGCCCTAGCGGGCTTTGGGGTCCGTGTGCTTGCCATGGTCAGCCTGCCGCCCTGGCTGCCCTCTGAAGGTGCTGCAGCCGAGATGCTTTCGAGATTGCGGCCTGGCTGGGCAATTTGCACGGCCTTCTGGGAGGGCATTAGCATATAAATAGCCGCCGGATGACGGCCATCACAGCTGAGCACGTTTAATTTTTAGTTTATAAGATAGAATGGGCTTTTAAATGCATAGCCATCAAGCGCTGAGAGACAAATGCAGGTGGGAGCTCACTTGTCTGACGAGGCCTTACATCATTTTTTTTTAAAAGGGAAACACACATAAACTGAACAGAAGTGATTTCTTGGGTGAAAAGTAATTGAGATTGTGCACCAAGTTAATTAGATCACACAGAATTTATTTAATGGTCCCAGCTGTATCTCGGGCACGCGCTGGCCAGTGGGTGCTCCGTGCGAGGCCTCCCTTCCGGCCCTTCTCAAATAATTAGCAATCTCTCTACCCTACTCCTGTGAACTGATTGCATTGTATATTTTAGCTATTTTATTGCTTGTTTAATTATGATTGTGGAAGCTCATTTTTCTAAATCCTTTTAACTGGGTGAGAATCAGTTTGTATAAAGCCTGCTGAGGCTGAGGCCTACTCTGGGCCTCCCTGGTCTCGGGTGGGCTGGTGGGCTGAGTGTCTGGGAGGGTTTAGTATAGGGGCCTGGCCAGCTTCCAAAACCTTGCAAAGCACTTGGAGGTGTCTGTGGCCACAGGTGCTGACTGCCTGCCCAGGACTCACCTGTTACAGAGGTGAGCACATGGCCTAGCGTGACCTCGAGTCCCCCAGACGAGGGGGCCAGGTCTGGTTTTGTTGGACCAGGAAGCTGCTCCCAGGGAAACGGCGCTGGGGAAAGCCCAGTTTATAGGTCTGACTGGTTCTGAAGATGACCTGCCTTCAGCTGAGGCCGCCTCAGGGCGTGATCGTCCTTGGGTGTCCTCTGGGCTGCTCTGCCCCGCCCTGCCCCCAGCACCTCCCTACGTGTGTCTGGGTGCTGGGTGCTGGCTTCTGTCCCATCTGTGACCTCTGACCTTGTGGGGAGGTTGTCCCTGCTGCCTTGATCGCTGGACTGGCCCCAGGAGCTCAGGCGTGGGCCTCAGTGGCCCAGCTGTGCTGTTTCCCAGTCCGGGTGGTGCTGTTCTGAACAGGTACTTGTGGGAAGGCAGAGGTCAGGGAGGTGTCCGGGCAGTGGCGACCTCCCGTGAAGTGGAGCTTTCTGGCTTTCTCAGCCTCAGGAGGTCAGCCATCACCGCCCTTCCGCGTTGCACAGTCGTCGAGCCCTCCTTGCGGGCTCACTGCCCACCGAGCTCCCCTGGGACGTCACTGGGCAGTGGGAGCTTTCGTGCTGGGCGCGGTGTTGGCCGGAGTCTGGCTCGTCTGGTGCAGTGAGCCGTGGCCCAGCCGCCAGCGGTCACAGCCCAGGTGAGCTGCTGGCAGCACCCGGGAGCCCCGGTCCTGGCTGGCAAAGCTTCGCCTGGGACCTGGCTGAGGGGACCTTAAGGGGGCCGTTCTTACGGGCTCAGCCCCGCCCTGAGTTTACAGAGGACCTGTGTGCATCCCTGGCCTCTCCCTGCTAGGTCAGGAACAAAGAGCCTGGGGTCCCCACTTAGTGACTTGAGCAAACACTTAGGGCGAAAGGAGGTGTGGTTCCTGATAGTTAGCGAAGCAGCTGAATATTTTTTAGGAAATGGAAATTTAATACAAGTCCCTGGTGAAATTCGTTGGCGGGAGCAGTAAGTGTAATATTTTATGAAAATGACCCCATATTTAAACTCTGGCGCCTGTGGTATGCGTCGTAGCTCCCGGTCGGTCCACACCTACCTTTTAGAAAATTAAAACACATAAATTCTGCTTAGTGTTTGGTGTGCACTGCGCAGGCCTGCAGCGCGGTGCCCTAAAACCTTGGGCTGCTCGCCACCTTTCATAAATTCCTGGGGAGATTCTGTGCAAAAATAATTTTCAGGTCCGCGGCTCATTGTTATTCAAACGTGATTGATGGTCGTCATTTGCTCAGCGCTGGAGTTAAGTGCCCCTGTCATTTCCAAAGAGTATAATTGGGACGTTTCACAGGTCAGCGGTGGAGACAGGCTTCCCTTTTGATCAGTGTTAGACTGATAACAAAAATTACAGTTTCCGTGATTAATGTCTCTGCACCTCCCGATGCAGGGCTGCCGGGCGAACCCAAACAAAGTGCATTTGCATCTGATTATGCCTCTGGGGCTGCCCGCGAACCGCAGGTACCGACACCCACAGGCTGGTGTCCAGGGCGGCCCGAGGGTGCCGCTCTCTGGTGGCTGGCTGAGCTGGTGTGGGGCCAACCCGCGGCCGCCCCCTGTGGTCAGTGTTCCTCTCGGGGATTGTTTCAGAAGGACTATGTCAGATGGTCCTGTTTCTTGAAATGTTTGTCTCTGACAACCTCCCCAGGCCCGATCACTGGTGGTCACCCCACAGGGTCTCCCTTCTGGGCCTTTCCCTCAGGTGAGCTGCAGTTGGCGGTGGCATCCAGGTGGGTGCTGCCATTCTGGGGGCAGTGCCCACTCCTTGGGGCAGGGCCACCAGGCCACTGTCCTGGCCTGAGGGCCGGAAGCCAGAAGCAGAGCCCTGGTTCCTCGGTGGTGGGCAGTGGGTGGGGCTTCTGGGTGCCTCCTGCTGTTTGTGGCCCTGGCACGTGGCGTGGATGTGGCCATTGGTCACCCAGCATGGAAACCCTCCTCTGGGAGGACCATTCACTAGCCTGAGATGAGCCTTTCGTGTGCAGGGGCCTGGCTGTGCAGCACCGGGGACCTTACCACGCTGGTCTGGCAGAAGTGGGCTCATCCAAAGAAAACCCTTTCTTTGGTGGCTTAACGTCATTGTTAAGAGCGGAATATTCCAGAAGTGCTGTGGTCACGTCAGTACCACCCGGGCCTTAGTGGGGAGCGGCCAAGCTGAGCCGAGCGAGGCCCGGGGCTGGGCCTGGAAGGGGGCTGGCACCTCACACGGGCCTTTGGGCGAGATCTGCTCTGAGACTGAAGCGGTGCCTGTTCCGCACGCCAGGCTTCGGGCAGCTGGGCCGGTCCAGTCGGGTCTGAAGTCGACGCTGAGGAGCGAGGGCATCGGCTGGGAGACAGCTCGGTGTGTCCCCCCGGCAGCGCTGACGCCCAGCCGGAGGGACAGCCCCACAGGGGCCCCGGCTCCGCCTGCTGCTCACACACCGGTTTGGGGGTGTTCCCACAGGCGGCATCCCCCGGGAGCGAGAGTGAGGACGACGACTTTGTGGAGGTCCCAGAGTGGGGGGGGCACGACGCCTGCGGCCCCGACTTACAGCCCAAGGATGGTAAGTGGCGGGGAGGGGCACTGGGAAGTGGGTTCCCCTCAGACAGTGCCCCTTGGCGGGGACCTCGGGTGTGGGCCCTGCCGCCCACTGATGGGGAGCCGGCCGTGGTCGGGGCAGGTGGTCTTGAGGTTCTCTGCGGCTGCCAGTGACACAGCTGCTTTCCCTGAACCCTGGTGGCTCCCCTTGTGCCCGGGCCATCCCTGAGGTCACCTGGTGGGTTCCTGTCGCCAGTTCCTGTGGGTGCAGCCAGGTGTCCACAGAGCAGGCCCTCAGAGGGCCCCTGCACTGACCTCCGGTGTGGGGAGTGAGGGCCTGGGTGGGCCTGCTGTCCCAGAGCCGAGGGAGGGTCCTGCTCTGGGGCGGGGGTGGGGCGGGGCTTGGCATTGGCTGCTGCCTCTCGTAGGTGAGAGGCAGCCACCCCACATTCTCCAGGCTCCCTTGCTCCCCGGTCACCATTTCTTGGGGGTGTCACAGGGCGGCGATCCTCCTTACAGTCAAGGAGTCAGACCTGGTGTCTGACCCAGGGTGTCTTGACTCCCTGACACGGAGCGACGGTGACCTTGGGGAGCACACCCCCACCTCTGTGGGGTCTCCTGTCTGGAAGACTTTCCTTTTCCAAAAGTCCTCTACAGGCCATGTCTGCACCCCAGGACTTGGCCCTCCAGGGGGGTGTGGGCCCACCTTCAGGCGGCCTTGCACGGGGCTCTCTCCTCCCGTCCAGAGCAAGGCCGTGGCTTCTGTGGGGAGGCAGACAGTTGACCTGGGTGGAGCGCGGATGAGATGACGGGTTCAGCGATCTTAGGGGTTGGACACTCGAGTGTGAAGGCGTGACTATTGGGGGTCACGTCAGATTAACCAGACCTCACAGCCGTCCGGGTGTCTGGTCCCTGTTTATACCAGGTGACCGTCCTGGGTGGTTCTGTTTCCTGGGCCCCCGCCAGGGAAGAGATGGGTCTCCCTCTGACCGCTGACCACACCCACTGCTGATCCAAACCTGACCTTGGGCCAGAGGCCTCACCAACACCCACGAGGCACCCCAGAGCGGCTTCGCCGGTTCACGAGGTGCAGTGACCACCTTCCTGGGCCCAGGGTGGTGCCAGCAGAAGGCTGGCCATGCCTGAGGCTGCCAGTGCAGGTCACACAGTGGGCTGAGGGCAGGACTGCAGGGAACAGCCTGCTAGGCCCCGGCCACTTCTCTAGTTTCAGCAGCCGCGGGGCCGGCAGCCGCAGTCCTGCCTTAGCACCTGGGCCCAGGCCTGGCTGTGCTGCCTGCAGGTCTTCTCAGCCTGCGGGCTGCCCCCTCCTCCTTGGTCCTGGCCCGGCGCCCTGCACCTCGGTGCCCGCGCAGTGCCTGGCTGTGGCGGGTGCCTCATGAGGAAGGCAGGGACCCTGTTGCTTTTGCGTGTGTTTCTGCGGCCGTGCTCCACCCCTCTCTGGAGCTCACGTGTTCTGCTGGGGCCTTGAAGGTAGGATGGCTGGTGTCTGGGCAGGTGCTGGTGACTGATGTTCTCTAAATGGTGGCAAACTGGTGGAGGAGTGTGCTGGCGGCCCAGGGTCCAAGAGGGGTTTCAGGTCCCGTGGAGAACTGGGGAGGGGGCCTCTCCTGGCGTCAGACTCCCCCTGGTGACGTGCCCTCCCCTGTGGAGCTATGAGGCCCCAGGTCACAGAGGGGCCTCTGCCCCATGTTTCCTCCGAGCTCTGGGGCTGTGGGTGGCGGGTGGCGAGGGCGCTGCAGTCCACTCAGAGCCCAGGTCTACCCGGGGCTGCTTTTCCAGTTGGCTTGCACGGGTCTGCGGCCCTTCAGCCTGAGCCCCTGCCCAGGAAACGCGAGCTCTCATTTTCTCTGAATTTTCACAAGCGGGGCTTTTATCTTCCCCTTAATCCTGCGTCTGTCAGGACGTAATCTCTTTCTCAAATTTACATTTTAATTACAAGGCCAGCTGAACTAGGCAAAATCAATAGTGTCAGGCGGAGGCTGACTTTGCGAGAAGCCCCAGCCTCTCCGTTTCCTGCATTGATCGTCCGGCGCCCGCCTGCCTGATGCTCCAGGCAGATCGGGCCCCTTGGTCAGTTTAAACAAAAAAGTAGATTTGGGCATTTCTGTGATACCTTCTAAAAGCAGCCGTGGGAGTAAGTTTGCACCCAGACCTGTGCTGAGTCGGATGCCCTCTGGGGGGCGGGTGTCTTGTTCTCAGGCTCCGCTGTCCATTCTCCCTGCAAACTGCCGGCTGCGCGTCTGCTCTCTGGGTTTTCACTTTGAAAGTATGTCAGCGAGATTGATTTTCTACCACGGTGTGAAAATGGTGGTGTTTTTTAGTGCCCCAAGTATTTACCCCGCTCTAACACGCTTACCCATCTTTTTAATGGTTTAAAACAACAAATCAATGAAAAATATATTTCATTCTTGTAGCTCAGGAATTCTCGTATTGATCGTTGGCTGTGACTGTATCCATCCAAACGCCAGTGCCCACTCACCAGCCTCTCCTGTGCGTGAGGCGCATGCGCTTGTGTGGGCACCTGCCTGTCCTGATGGTGTCGTCAGATCCCAAGTGGGCCTGTGGACGCGGTGCTGGTGCCGGCATCCAGCAGGGCCCAGCCTCCTTTGGTGTCCCTGGGCCCTCACAGCTCGTGCTCGGGTGGCCAGAGGTGGATTCAGTCACCTCTAAGTGGCTCTGTGCAGTATCCCCCTTCAGCATGGGCCCCCAAGAATCGGGGCTGGACCCCATGCTCACGCGCAGAGGAGCAGGTCCTGACGGGCTGACCTGCTGTGAGCCACACCTGAGCAGAGGGGCCCTTTCAGGGGCCGGGCCCTTCCTGGCCTTACCCTGTGTCCTCCCCTCCGCCCCCACCCCCCTCCTGCCCTGGAAGCTCTTTTCTGTGTCCAGTGCTCATGCCGGTCAGCCCCCTTCTGACTGCCCCTTCCAGTCAGTGTTGCTCATGAGCCTGAGGTGGACGGGTGGACAGAGGTACGTAGTCAGTGGCCCGCACGGCCAGTCTGCACCCGGGGAGTACGCAGAAGCGTGTGTGCGTGGTCTGTAAGCTCCCCGCCTCTGGGGTCACCGGCCGCCCTTCACTCTGCTCCCCTCACTGCTGTGTGCCTCGAGGACGCAGTGTGGGTGACGGGTCTTCAGAAGGGCTGTGGTCTCCTCCCTGGTCACCCGCCAGCCTGCGTGTGCTCGGCAAGGGTTTCTCAGATGTGAAGCCTGCGGTGCTGCTGGGCCGCCCCTGGGTCTGAACCCGGATCCGCTCGTCCATCCCAGCCTCCCTGTGAGGTCCCGGGCCCGCGGCGCCCGCAGAGCCCGCGGTGGGGTCCCACCCACCCCTCGTTCCTTTGGACCGGAAGTCCGGCTCCTCGCGTTGGCCATGGCCTCAGCCTTGGCTCCCTGGCCCGTCTGGGTGGTGACCTCGTTCTACCCGTGTCTGGCCATCTGTCTGAGGCGGGCCTCACGCGGGTAACACGGTTTAAACGCTTTTGACCTCAGTGGCCTGTCAGGTTTCCGTCTCTTCGTGTACTTGTCGCCGTATTTCAGATGCTTCTCTTGCTGCTTCGCTTTCTTTTCCCACCTTTTATTTGCTAGATTAACTTTTCTTCTGCTTTTTTTTTTTTTTTTTAATATGTCGTTACTGATCTGAGAGAGAGGAAGGGAGAGGGAGAGAGGGAAACACCAGTGATGAGAGTCACTGATCGGCTGCCTCCTGCTCGCCCCCGACTGGGGGTCGAACCCACAACCCGGGCCTGTGCCCTGACCCGGAATCGAACCCCGATCTCCTGGACCCCAGGTCGATGCTCAACCCCTGAGCCACGCCGGCTGGGCTCCTCTGCTGGTTTTTAAAACTATTCATTCAGTAACAGGATAAAAACATGGTTCTTTCCCCGGCCGGGTGCCCAGTGGGCTGGAGCCTTGTTCCGTCCACCACGGAGGCCGCAGGTTCCATCTCCAGTCGGGGCACATACGGGGCAGCCGACCAGCGTCTCCCTTCGCGTCGGGGTTTCTC